AAAAGGAGTTTGCACATAAACATTTTGTGTTAAGTAATAGCAGATCATTGGCTGCTATTGATGCCCTGATCAGAATGTAATCAAAGTTGGAACAAAAACATAATTCACAATTGCAAGGAAAAGAAGCAACCATATTTTTAAACAATTGTTTTAAAGTTGTACTATCTACATGCATACTCTGGAAAGATATAACGTGCCCAATCTTATTGCTTTATAAAGGAATCCTTTGGATATGCTAAACAGTTCCTCCTCTCCACCAACCAATGAACTTATAGTCCACAAGTACGTACATTCTGTACACGTTTATATATGGACAACTTCATTATTGTGCCAGGCCATCTGTGACAGTATCAAGTAGCTTCTGGAGGAAAATATAGATCAGGATAGGAACACCATACTATTACTAAAACAGCTGGGAAAATGCTTCCTAACTACTATTTAAATACTCTATTCCCTACAAAGATTTAGCTTGGATACAGAAAGTGTAGAAGCATCAATTCCACCCAAAATATATGCAGACTCCACTACCAAAACCTGGAATGCATGGCTGCCTCCACAGATCCTGAAAGGGACAGCTGTAAATATATTTAATCAAAATTGTTGACAAGCAGACCTGTAGTAATACCTTACTAATATGACTAATCATTGAATGCTGGTATGCTCTAAAACTCTTTGCCGCACTCCTTAATGCTCTGCACATAAAATGCTCATTGATGCAGAAGGATTGTTGGATGTTTGGAGATGAAATTTGTGTGTTAGCCTGCTACTGTTCTAATGGGAAAGTAGAAATAAAGCCCAGGCTACAGTATATGGTAGATGCCATAATTTCAAATGAAAATCATCAGGACCCTGGATTAAATGTATTGTTTTAGGGGTACTGTTGATATGTTTCTTTTTGTTTTGTAACTTTTATTGGCAACTGTATTTACATGCATTGCTAAACTCTTTTCATTGATTTTTTTCCTGAGACTAAATTTTTCACTGATTTTTTTTCCACAAAATTTTCTTAGTAGTCATGTAACTGTAATGTTTAAATTGTAAGTTGTTTTAAGAAGCTTCATAGAACCAAAACATAAAATAAAGATAAGAAAATAAGAAAGATATTTCTTCATTACATGTGTCATATACACATTTCAAGTCTCTGGAAAAACCAGCACATAAGGTAAGATGTGTGTCAAATCAGGCTTATTGCATCAGCCAAAAATTTCACAGATTGTAAATTACCATTCACTCCCTAGAATGCTTCGCTAAGATGTTAATTCAGTAGGGTAATAAAAATGTGGCAAATCTTGGCAAAAATACTAGCAGGAATCACACAATCTATTGATAGTTGACAAATCAAGAAGTTCTTTTAAAAATACAGACAAAGAACAGTCCGTTATCTCCAAGGGACAAGTAGACCTTTATGTGTGCAGAAGGCAAAAAGCAACATCAAAGTAAATTCATTGAGTTGGGTACTCACACAAACTCAAATAGCTCAAACAAGGACATTCAACCCATAGATTATTGTAATATTATTAAATATTTCTGAATTGACTTGTTGAAAAATAGCAGAGCAAAAGTCATGAGAATTTGAAACTCAATAATGTCTTCAATTACCCTCTTTAAAGTCTCACAGGGAACATTTAGTTTAGTTTACTTTATTGTCATTGCACCTCGTACAACAAAATCAAACACCATCTTCAGTACACATCATGACCATGATCACAAACACACATCCTTCACCTGCCACACATTGAACCAAAAACCCCAGACACCACACCAATACTGCGCTATACAGCAGAATTCAAAAGAGCTACTGTCCTGGGATAGAAGCTGTTTTTCAGCCTATTTGTCCTTGTTTTTATTATTCTGTACTGTCTGCCAGATGGTAATAGTTAAAAAAAAAAAGGGTGCCTGGGATGAGATGGATCTCTGAGAATGTTTTGAACTTTCTTATAATTCTCTCAATCATTTTAATTCATTTATTTATTAACAAACATCCCACTACATTACAGTAAATATTTTATCCATCATCATATTTTCTAAAATTATTTCTATTTGTAATATAACAATGCTATTTTATGTACCTTTGCAGAATCCCTTTTGCAATTAAATTTTCACCCATTATGTCTAAACAAGCTTATGGTTACAATCCTTATATCTTTTCTCTGTTTCTCCATTTCTTGTTTCTGTTTTTTACAACTTCTTTTCCTTGCCTTCTTCCCCCTCTTCTTCTCCCTCCCCTTTTTACCCCCTCGTCTCTCTACTTCTAACTCTCTCATCTGTAATCCCCTCTTCTGTTGCTTTCTAATATTATACTTATCTTCCAAATTGTTCTTCTTTTTGGTTGTGTTTTCTAGTCTTAAATCTTTCACTCTCTTTCCCCACTTTTCTTTTTTCCCCCCACTTAAAATTATTTGATCATTAAAGATGGCTTCTTCTTTGTCTCAATCTTCTTGTTCTGCAAGCGTTTCTTGTTGCTCCTCATAGTTCCAGATCTCCATTTCTAAGAATTGAAACATGAAGCCAAAAGAACTTCTCCCTTCTTGTGCATCTTCTTTCCATTTTTTAACTTCTGTTTTCAGTTCTTCTAAGAGTGATACCATTTTAAAAACTTTTAAGCAACCACCCGGTTAATTTTACTCATCTAGATGCAAAAACCAAAAATCAGCAAATAATCCAAATAATCCAAGGCTGTTTCTACTTGCTTCTTTTTTCCACTTTCTCTTCCTGGGGTTCTATTATTTTGTTACCAAGTTTCAATTAAAATGTATCTTTGAGGAATATGTTAAAATTTCACTGTAAGTTCCTTTTAATTACAGTTCCATTCCTTAATTCCAGGCAGTCTCCTCCATTTTTCCAGATCCTGCCCTTTCATTCTTTTTTTTTCCTTTCCTGCTTTTAAAAACTTTTAAATGTCCAGAAATCTTTATTATCCCTTTGACTTCTTTTTTTTTAATAAAATTTTTTTATTGTTTTTTAACACACAAACAAACAGACAAAACATAAAAGCATCAGCTCTCCCGTATTTATATACAAACAGTGAGTCGGTTGGTTCATCAGTTTTGTGCATTCATTTCGTAGTCACAATTACAATTACCTTATATAATAACTCTTATTGTCAGTGCAAACTTATATATCATCATATCATTATTAAAGAAAAAGAGATTTGACTATACTTTTATTCAATCATGCCTTATGAGATAACTATATTTTAAGTAATTTATTCTATAACAAATCCCTTTGACTTCTATTTTCAGCTTAGATGCCTATTAATGTCAAAGTGGATTTTTTTTTTCAATTTCTTGCTTAAGTCTCTTAGCAATCAGTATAAGGAAGGGAGGGAATAAAACCTAATCCTTTCTCTTCTCTCTCTCCTTCGCAGCTTCAAAATCTTCTTTGGGAACAATGTTGTTAAGTTTAAATTCCAGGGACCATATTTGTTGCTTTTGCTGTTTGACCCAGTCAACCAAAATTTTCTCTTCTTATCTTCCTCCTGCACATTCTTTTCTGGTCAAGTTCTACTTTGAGGTTGCCATTTCTGACCACTGCTGCAACCGCCTTCAGGAAAGGGAGTAATGGCCAGCTGGGGAGGAGAGATGCGGCTCTCCTCAACCCTTCAGGCAGTCTCCCCCCTCTTCACCACCTCTACAGGGTGGCTTAGCCCCAAAACCAGCTGGCTCGGGGCGCTCCAGTGGCAAGCACGGATCGAAGCCTCATAGAGACGAGTCTTCGGTCTGTCGCCGAAGAAACTCAAACCGGAAGTCCCATTTTGAACTTTCTTAAGGCAGCGGGAGCTATAAAGCTCTTCCGCAGTGGGGAGCAGGCAACCAATGATCTTCTGGGCAATGATGTTTAACCCTCTGGAGTGCTTTTCTATCTGCCACTGTGCAATTGGCAAACCATACAAAGGTGAATTAAGTTAAAATATTCTCTATGGTGCAGCGGTAGGTCACCAGCAGTTTTTCATTCAGTTGTTGTTTTCTGAGAAGTCTCAAGTAGTCAAGACTCAAGTCTCATCTCTGCTGGGCCCTTTTGACCAGTGCTGCAATGTGAGCACCCCAGGTAAGGTCCTCTTTTGTTGTAACACCCAGAAACTTAGAACTGGCCACTTGCTCCTCTCAGTCTCCATTGATAAGCAAGGGCTGGATGTCTGATCTCTACCTTCTATAGTCCACTATAAGCTCCTTGGTCTTATTGGTGTTGAGGACCAAGTTATTGTCTCCACACCACAAAAATAACCGGTCCACCTTATCTTGATAGGCAGACTCATCCCTCCTTGATATGAGTCCCACCACTATTGTATCATCTGCAAATTTAGCAAGTGTGAGTGGGAATGCAGTCATGCACATAAAGAGTATAGAATAAGGGACTCAACATGCAATCCTGTGGTGGACCAGTGTTAAGAATAAGGGCTGAAGAGGTAAGATTACCTAATCTGACCCTCTGTGAGCGGCCAGACAGGAAATCCATAATCCAAAGGCAGATTGAATAAGAAAGACCAAGATCCAGAAGTTTAGACATTAGTCTATGTGGAAGAATTGTGTTAAATTCAGTACTTTATTTTTGAATTTTATGGAAGACTTCCATTCAGTCCTCTATCATAGCCTAAATATCACTTTAGTATTTTCCTAGATGCTTTGTTGAAATTAGAATTTCCTGTGTAATTGATTAACAGCTAAACTCCCAGGCAATTCTGGAACCTGGAATCTCACACATCTGGAGGAAAGAAATTGAGAAAGTTGTTCTAATTGGGAAGATGGTACATTAGCTTAAAGTACTGATAAAAATTTGGTGGGTTGAGTTTTTCGCCAAATTCTTTTTCTTATCCAAAGTAGGAGGAATCTAGGCTTCAGTAATCAAACAAAGCTTGAGATCCACCTACTACTGGCATTAATGGAATTTACACATGCATAACTATGGTTCTGAATCAAAGTGTCCATCTGTTTTGGAATTCAAGCAAAATTTTATATGAGAAACCCCATAAAAGAAAATGCCAAAAGGAGCAAAAAACTTACCACATTTCATCATCCCTACTTCATAACATTTCCGGAGTCGGCAGGCCTGGCAACTTTTGCGTCTGTTTTTATCTATTGTACATTGGTTTGTCGCCGGACAGATATAATCATTGTGCCCTGGAGGGAGGAATAAAAAAAGGTACTTTTTAAAAATATTGTGATAAAGTCTTAAATTTGGTCCTTGTTTTTAAGAAAAGGTATTTCATTTCTTGAGTTAGCCACTGGTTCTAGTGTGGGGAACTGGTTAGACTGTCCTTGGAGAATCCCTAGACAGCAGCCGTGTAAAAGGCTTCCAATCCCAAATGAAAGCTGAGTCCTGCAGGCTGAGATGACTGCATACTGAACAGCGGAAGAGTGACCTATGTCCTTGAGCGAACAAAAAGCATCTTAGCAACATACAACATTCCTCATTCAATGTATGTTTCGTTAGGGCTGTGTGTTCCTTAGGGTTGTACTTTGCTTAACCAGAGCACTTAGGATTGAAGATTGCAAAGTGAGAAGATCCAGAATGAACATGTCCTCCAACTAATGAGCAGCCGGGGAAAGAAGGATCTTCCTTAGGTGTAGGGGTGCTTAAAGAAAAGAATAGAATAATAGAAGTCTTATAGGCTTATACTTTTGAGAACTTATTTGAAAGGCTAGCCAACAGAGAAATACAGCATATAAAAGGAGGGCTAAAAAGCAAGACAATCCTGTATGTTTCAGTTCCTAACAGCAAGTATGTCATAGAAAAGGACTGTGATCGGCAAAAGAGCTTTTGTTTTGTTTTTGCAAACTACAACACAAGAGAATTAAAATATTTCCTTTTATTTTGGTAGATTTCTCATCCTTGGACTAGATTTAACCTCTCTGCAAAGATTCAGTAAAGACCAAGGAAAGTCTGGAAAGACAGTTAATTCCTTCTGTAGAGAAATAGAGAAATGCTAATTTGTGGGAAAAGTTTTTATTTCCCCCCAATTCATAGTGATAATTTCTCAAAGCAGATGGTTTTTCTTAAGTTTATTTGACAAGCAGGCTCCCTTTTAAAGTGGAAGTTGATAATACAAATTCTGGTCGAATGATAGTGAAAGCAAGTTATAGTTGTTTAAAAATGAAGGCAAATGAAGGCAAATTTTCTTAGTGACATTTTATGTCAACCTTTGTCTAGAGGTTATATATGATGTTTGGGGTTGAATGCCTGGACTTAGACCATGGTGTTCTGAGTGAAATGTTCGTTAAGACATCAAGGTCAGTAGGAGGCTATGGCCAAATATTGCTCTCTTAGTTGAGCCTAAGAATTATTGTGAATACGAAGAAAAGGAAAAAGATTCTATAAAAATGTAATTGGTTGAAACTATACAATAAGTTTCACCATTCTAGCTCTCCTGTCTTTTTAAGGATTACCATAAAAATCCTTAGAATCAGTTTATGTTAAGAATAAAGACAGATTGTTATTAGATTTTTATTATAGACCGGCTACAAGAATAAGAACTTGACATGCAGTTGAGAGCTTGATGCAGATTATAAAAATGATCTCAAAAATGATTATAAACCTTCAGGCGTATAAGTTCTAACAAGTACACATATAAAAGTCCAAAGTGATAGACACAAATTTGATGGTTACTAGTGTGTGGGGGAGGGGGAGGGTAGAAGGAGAAGAATACAACTGTAAACCATTCCTTCTCCCTGAAAACCACTTGCCTGGTCCAAATCTGTTTCCAAAATGGCCTCTTGTAAGGAAATTTAATAGTTTTCTCACATAATTCAGAGGTGTCATTCCAATTAAAAGGCAGCTTGGTCTCTATCAGCTTTATCATGTTTATGCATTTAATGAAGGGGCTAGTTTATACAATGATGCTGATACCAAAAAGAACATAAAAACCCCAACCCCATTTATTATGTGTAGAAAAGGATGTTTTGCAAAGCTGTTGAACGCTTTTTGGAAAACAGTCTGTGTAGAACAGATATGATCTCAGTGCTTGGCAGTGAAGGTTGATTATGATCAAAGGTCCCCTGGAAAAAAAATAAAAATGTTGTCATGCCAAGTCTCCAACACATGTCACGGCCTTCAAAAGGTTATCTTGTCCAATTTTGAAGTGTAGTTGACCAAACCATATGCCAGGTAAACACTTTTGCTTTTTTCAATTACCTTAATTTGTTGCATCCAAATTCATACTGTTCCTACAGATCTGAGACTTAACATTTCTAAATGCAGTTACCTTGGAGTAAGTCCTATTGAAACAATGATATTTTCTTAATTGGAAACATAGATATTAGAATAAATATGGGGAAGGAATTGTCCTGGGACTGAAACAATGAACATAAATATTTTTGAAGGCAAAAAACTGAGAAAAGGTACATAGAATCAAACTGTGAGATTTTTCATAATTGCCACTGAAAATGGGACCTTGATTTTTAATCAATAGATTTCATCAACTAGCCGATATACTAAAGGGAAGAAATAAATCCAGTTTTAATGGTGAATCTAAAAATGAAGTGTGCCTGGTACATTTTCAGACATATTTGGAGTCTTTTGTTTTAATATAAGTGGGAATGAAAAGGAAATCTTAAATGGAATGTGCAAGAAAATGTTCCTTGACTCCCTTTTTGATAATGTTCCATTCCATGTCCATTCATTTTTTAAAATTTATTAAACTTATATGCTTCCCATCTTGCCAAAGGCAACTCTAGGCAACTTACAATAATTTAGTAAAATGCCACATAAAACATTAAACCATAAATAGAGATCTCAAATTTAAAATGTAAGTAGTTAGCCCTATTTCAATGATTAAAAAAATAGAAACTTTATAAGATGTTATAAATAACAGGAAGAAATAGAGTGATCAGTAATTAACACTAAATTATTAGTAACCATACATAACAATTCAATTTATCATGCACATTGCTAAATCTCTTCTAAAGCCTCTCTTAAATGCTATAATAATCATGCAGATGGTATAATATTTTAGATGTTTGCTTGGCTGATGTTAGGGAGTTTCAGCTCTTGTACTGTCCCTTAATTTCAGGTGCAAGATTTCCAACATATTGAGAAAAGAACTTCATACTTAGTATTGGAAGGGGGAAAAGGAGAGAAAGTCCTCCTAAAATAGAAAAAAAAATCCAGTTCTGCAGTATATGTAGTAATAGTATAGCCTTCATCCCTCTTCAAAATATTGTGCTAATGTAATTAAGACTCAAGTGTCAAGGAGATCTGCAGGAGGATTGGGTCAAAAATTCCAAATGATAGTTGTAACTACATAATTGAAATGCTGCCTGGTTTTTGATTGCATCATAACCCACATATAAAAGGGGCGGGTTTTTTTTATGCTGGCTGTCATCTTGACTTTGCTGACTCTCTTCTGCACAACTCCCTGGTTGCTCTATGTAATTTATCTTCATGTTCTTACAAAAATCATTGCATTCAAATGAATTGCTTTCTCCAGGATTTCCTGTTTTCCCTACCTTGGATGCTTCTTTTGAAGAAGGCTTTACAGCCTTCACATGACCAAACCCCATAATGATATCCAGATGCATAATCGCTACATACAGCACAGAAATGTGCATCTCTTTTTGAACCAGGGCTGTTTGTGGTGGGACTGGTACAGTCACTGCTGCTGTTTTTTCTTTTCAGGGTGTCTCTGGTGGCAGAAAAGGAGAAAATCTGTCATCAAACCATACAAAGGAATGTGTATTTTGCCTCAACAATGTTCTTTTTAAAAAAATCATCCACATGAAGTTTTGCAGAGTGTGAACTGCAGTGAAAGAAAGCTTAAAATTACATAAACTTCCATGGATTAGAGTCATAAAATATAATACTTATTCTTCAGAACACGCCACAATTTTGCAAGCATCAGTTATTAGAGTATATAATATATTAAACAGGAGTATTTGACAAGCATTAAGCATGTGAAGTCTGATATTGTACCAGATTACAACTATCACATTCTCCTCCCAATCATTCTAAGCAGTTTAGTTTGGGCTGGTGAATATAATAATTAGCACAGTGATTAAGCAGAATGAAGATTGCACAGTTAGGAGTTTACATACACATGCAAAGTTACATGTGCCACATTGTTCGGCCAAGTGAAGTAGTTCCTTAGACAGGAAAAATCAGTATCACAAAGAGTATTAATTGCAAAGCATTTTTTATTATTTGGTTTTTTTCATTCATTCATTCATTCATTCATTCATTCATTCATTCATTCATTCACTTTTATTACTTGATTTCTTATTCTATTGTTATTGCCAGGGACAGGAACAGGTGCTTCTGTAATAAAAAAAATTTGACTGGTCTTGAATAGTATAGATTTTATTTTTGAGATGAAGGGAGGTTGATTCCATTTGCTGTCCTTGCTACAGATCTCTGCATGTCCTGTGGACACATTCCTCCAACAAATGTGCACGAAGTAAGATTTGGTCCATCAAATCAGAAATTTGATAAATGAAAGAATTTTTTTAAAGACTAAAAGACAAATTTTGTTCCTTTTTGAGGTCTGAAATATTGCTTTACCTGCATAGCTGTCCATAGGGGGAAAGAAAGTCAACAACAAAAAAAGAAATAATCTAGAAAGCAGAAAAGAGGATTTTACTTCTGATCAAAGTCTTCAAATGTTTCAGTCACATGGTTGAATATTCTATCTCAGTTTTTCTCAAACTTGGCAACTTTAAGACATGTGGATTTTAACTTCTCCATGCTGGTTGAGAAATTCTGGTAATTGAAGTCCACACATCTTAAAATTGCTAAGTTTGAAAAACACGGCTCTAGCCTGACTATTTTATTCACACACATATCCCAGAACATCCCTGCTTACATTTACACTTCATAGTACATATGAATTACAGTCTTTACTTCTGAGACAAACCCAGTGTCCTCTATTCTTTCTTGAGTAAAAGGGGATTTGATAGCCTTCTCCCTTTCTTGTCATTGATCAGGAACAATGTGCAAGTCCAAAAGGATTTGAAGAACAGATGAGCAGAAGAGAAGCCACTACATTCAGAAGTCACATATAAGCATCCAGACATCTGTAGGTTTCTTCATTGTGACAAATGTCTCTGGGTTTCAGAAAGAAGAAGAGGCTTAAGAGAGCATGTGTCCTTTTAATAAAAAAAAATTCTCTTCCAACTCAAGCAGAGTTTTATATGTCACATTTGAAAACAAAATCCTTCATTAGGAAAAAATAAAATAAAATGCCCTATGCTCACTTAATCAAGTAAAGGGAGGGGCCAGCTCCATGTAGTTCATATTCTTCCTATCTTTGAACTTTTAATTTAAGTTACAATTCATGAATTTTCAATACCACAATCATTGTTTCCATGGCAATAAATTGATGTCATGAACACAGCATTAAGATGGCACCACAAAAATGAAACAGAAGGGGAAGTGCAACTGTGAAAGAGAATGTGTGCAAAGGCAAAGCATTTTGAAGATGAGAAATCACTCATTACACTTACCCTTCAAAAGGAATAGAGAATTTCATTGTACAATTCCACTCAAATAAAATATTATGTGTTTTGTCCAGGAATTTAAAGAGTGTCCGATGTAGCTTTCTTCAACCTGTTCTTTCCAGATGTGTTAGCTACTATCTCCCATGATTTCTGGGGATGACAGCAATACGACATCTGGAAGACAGCTTGCTGCAGATGACTGAGAGACCTGCAATTGTCTGAAGTCCAAACTAGACCCATCAACAGCATAAAATTTCTATTCTTACTTCACCCTTTTCAATAAAGAATCCCAAAATCTGTATAGAGATTCTCAATCATCCAGGTCAGGGTTATCCCAAGATGCTTTTCAAAAAGCAAGGAAGCCCAGTTGCCATTTGAAAAGCACCTTTGGGAGTCCCAAAAGCTACACATGATGTTCTTATCCATTATTTTATAGCTGACCTCAGTCTTGCATGATAGTGAAAGACAGTATTTATTCCCAGGTTCTTGGACTAAATACTTTTTCTTTTCAGGAATGGTCAAAACCATTTTGCTAGCTGAGGCAAAGGGTAAACTGATGTCCTTCACTCATATCATACTGCTAAGGTGACCGGAGTACCAGTCTTACTTTAATACACATGATGTTACACAAGGAATATTCCCATAGTCATTTTATTAGTAAAATATTCTTCAACAAGTAGACTGTATGTTACTTGCAGAAGATATTCTATATTATCCAGAAAAGTTATCATCCTTTGTCCAGTAACTTTACTTTCTGTCATAGCCATTAACCTACTAAATTTCTATACTGGGCAAGGTATTGACCCTAGAGTTTTCTAATACCATTTTGATTTCCATGAAAACAAACTTATTTCCAAGCACAGAGTTATACAATAAAGCTGAATGATGGGAAATTCAGAATGGATAGGAATTCTTAAAATGCTTCTGATTATAGGGGTGGTCGGAAATAAAATTCTAAGTGCTTCCAAAATGGTTGGAAAATTCCCTTTTAAGCTTAAAGCACTTGTTTCAAACTGAAATAAAGCTGTTACAAAGTTGAAACATGTCCAGAATGGCTAGAACTCAAAGGTAGACATTTTAAACTTCTAATCTCTTGAATTCAAAATGCTTAGTGCATCTCTAGTAAATCAATTAAACCAGGGGTGTCAAACTCTTCATTGAGGGTCACATCAGGGTTGTGTTTGACCTCAGAGGGCTGGGATGGGCATAGCCAGCTGATGTCACTCATGTACTCTGCCAGCAAAAATGGGCTCCCGAGCTCCGTTTCTGGCAGCCTCCTGCAACACTCTGCCAGCTAAAACAGAGCTTGGGAGAACTGCCCTCCCAAGCTTCATTTTCATTGGCAAAGGCACTGTGGGCTGGTCTCTTGCTGTTTGCAGAGTGGCCCCACAGGCCAGATCTAAGCACCCCATGGGCAGATTTGGCCTGTGGGCCTTGAGTTTGACACCCCTGAATTAAACAAAACAAAGTTAAACTTGCTACTGCAAGATGAAACAATGGCCACCAACATGGGCAGTCTTATCATAGGATTAGACAAATTAATGAAGGATATACTGGATATATCCTTCATATATGGCTATTAGTCCTGCTAGTTCAGCATCTCTGTACACCAATGTAAAACACAAGGGTATGGTGTTTATGTCCTATTTGTGTACTTCCCCTAGTCTCCAAGTTGACCACTGTAGGATCAAAATGCAGGATTTGTTTGAGGTTCCTCTATTCCAATTATACTGAGAGTCTATCATATGCTAACTCCACCCATTGCACATGAGAGAAAATGGATCGTCCAGAAAAATAATTCTCCAAGTACAGGAGAAAAAAGCAAATTATTTAATAAATATAGCTCCTTTTTTCCTGAAGAAAAAAAAAATCAGCCTTGAAATGAGAAATAATCACAGTGAACTCTGTTGCTAGCTTACATCACAAATATTATGCAGGTACAATTTTGCATTATCAAAAATTCAGTAATATTTTTTTTAAAGTCCTCTTCTGAATATATTTATTGCCCTTTCCCAAGATTTCTGTTCTCTTACATCATCCCCTAAATGTCAAGCCAAATGTCTGAAAGTTCAAGTTTCATCTTAGCTCCAACTTCCAATATTTAAACCTGTGACTGAACTGTGTTCCTATATTCTCATTGAAATAAGAACATGGATAAATATTAAGAATTTCTTTTTTTTTATTTATTTCAAAGCTGAGAGGCAAAATAGATATTCCTGGGTATCGCTTATTGGCTGTCCCAACTTTGAAAGCAAATTGAAGGTAGAGGAAAGAATAATTTGATCAGAGAAGAAAATCTGGGAAAATAATGCATGCTATTTTCCCCATTTAAATCCTATGGGCCCTTCAAGCTGCTATCAAACAGATTCCAAGGAAGGCTTTTAGAAATCACTCTGTTTCTTTACCCCTACATTTAACCACAATTATTCAGACATTTTTCCTAGGCATTTTGGACTCTGTTTCTTGATTATACGACACTGGACTGAATATTTAGCACTAGATGGATAATTTTTTAAAAATTACCTGTGAATAGGCAAGACGTGATCCATAGGTCGGGCTTCACACCAAGGGCTTTTTGGTTGCTCTGCATATAAAACCGATGATTGGCAGTGTACTGTCAGAGGAGAGATGTGACCAGAACTGGACCACAACATGCTCGGACTCGCCGCCTGCCTTACAGTGGCATTTTCTGAATCGCTGAAATTACCCGGAATGTTATAATTCATCATTGAAGGGCTGTAGAAAGCCATGGCTGAGTAGTCAGGTCTGTTCTCCATATAACAGGATGGAATGTAGATCGGGCTGTGCTCCACCGTCAGAGCAGCCTGGCTGCAGCTGAAAGGGATGGGAGAGCTCTGCTCAGAGATGCCACTTTTGGCTTCTCTTTTCGTACATCTGAGATCTTGAATTGGTGGCAAACGAGCACATTCCTTGTGAGACGATGCACAGAGGGACATGGTGGAGTGAGATGGATGCCAAATGTCGCTTTCTTAATCAGTCATCCCCCAACATTTAATCTGGAAAACAGCAATGCTAAGGCTACATAAAATACATTTTTTAAAAGAAAATCCACCCCACTCCTCACCCTTACTTCCTGGCCGTGCATGTCTGGGGCAACAATATGAACAGAAAGCAGCTTTAGCAGACCGATGAGTACAGAAACAGTCCTTCTCAAACATAAACATGGTGATGATGTAAAGTTATTCAACACCACAGACAATACTGCTACCCTTCAAAAAGACCTTAACTATGTATCAGAATGGTCAAGCAAATGGCAACTTCAAATCTCAACAAATAAATGCTCTGTCCTACATATTGGCAAAAAAAAATCAGAATATAAAATATAGGCTGAATAGTCAAGACCTTGTTGATGATCCAAACTCTGTCAAGGATCTTGGAGAACTCATCTCAAATGACCTAAGTGCTAGAGCCCACTGTAACTACATAGCCAAAAAGGCATTAAAAGTTGTTAACCTAAACTTACGTAGCTTTTTCTCTGGTAATATTACACTAATAACTAGAACATACAAAACATTTGCTAGACCAATACTCGAATACAGCTCATCAGTCTGGAACCCACATTACATATCTGATATTAACACAGTTGAGAAAGTCCAGAAATATTTCACAAGAAGAGTTCTCCATTCTTCTACTCGTTGCAGAATATGCCACCAGACTCAAAATTCTAGACCTAGAAAACTAGAACTATGCTGCCTTCGGTCCAATCTAAGTATAGTATATAAAATCATACATTGCAATGTCCTACCTGTCAATGAATACTTCAGAGCACACAATAGATACAAACTCAAGGTTAACTACACCAAACTTGATTGCAGGAAATACGACTTCAGCAACAGAGTGGTCAATGTCTGGAATATTCTACCTGACTGTGGGTTTTTTCCCCAAACCCCCAAAACTTTAACCTTAGACTGTCTATTATTGACTCACTCCTTTCCTAAGAGGTCTGTAGGGGGGTGCATAAGCAAACCAACGTGCCTACCATCCCTGTCCTATTGTTTCTTTTTCTTTTTTATTTTTCTTATATGTATCCATGTATTCATAACTATGTCTTTACTTATACCTATTATCTTGTAAGCAATTGACAAAAATAAATAAAATAAAATAAAATAAAATCTATAAGAACAGAGAGATCCACTGCCTGTGGGTAGAAAATCTTGAAATCTCCCATTCATCTAAATCGGAGGTGGGTAACTTGAGGCTGCGGAGTCAGGTTTTAAAGAGTCTTTCACTCCAACTCAGGCAAAATTCAGCAGTATGGTTTCCCCCTAACTTGAGGCAAGAAGCACTCAAAAACTACAGCATCAATATCATTATTGGATTCAAGAAAGAAATACAGGCCAAAACCCCCAGCCCAAAACTCATAAATGAAAAATAAGAAAATCTCTGCTCTGCATACATGCATGCATCAAATGACTCAGCCCAATTTAGATCATGGCCTCACCAACTGTTTGGCTTTTGCCTTTCTAAAAGGAAGTGAGGCTTCCAGACTTCCAAAGATTCCTCATCTCCAATCAAAATAATCTAGTAATAGTGACTACTATTGTTAATCTGAGGAAGGGGACAAGTTTCATGTGAGCACTCAAGTATGTCAGTGCTGATGTTATGCCAGAAAGAAATGATATATGTTCATCCAAGTTTCATCCTACTATTGGTAGAACCATGCTGCAAATTTCCAGGGTAGAAATACCCTACCATGGTCATTTCAGGCCCAGAAAATTGCAGGTTGCATGATTGCAATATCTTCTCCAATCCTTAGGCATTTTGCTACCTGAGGTGAAGGGCAAGCTGCCATTTTCACTTCACAAAAAAGTTACAAAAGTCAACCCAACTGGCAGTTAAATTATACTCTAATGCCAATAATGGGACAGTGGTCGTGATTACACTTGAAAGTAGTAGGTTACTTCAGTTGAAACAGGCCAGACTATTCCCCCAGTAATCCCTAATAGCCTATAGATTTTGCTTGTGTTATTTACTGGAACTGGTCAGGAAATATAATTCCCCTGTATTTTTTTTAATATTGATCACAGTTCAAATTGATCATTAACTCCTGCTTTTAAAGCCCCAGACTATAAAATGTCATGAGCAACTTATTTTTTTTCATGGGATTGTGAGTAACAAGAAGTCTGACAATAAGGCTATGATGGTACCAAGTGGATGGGCTAAAATGTTTACCGCACTTTAAACTTGTTTTCTGTGAGATTATATTAATATATTGGGTTGGGGGCACATTTTAAACTTACAAGGACTGCCAATTTATTGCTAAACTTCCTTGGCATCTTGACTGGGAACTTGGGGGAAGGGAGCTGCAAAGAAACCCAACAGGTTTCAGCACTTGATGTGGGTTCCTAAGGGAATATATTTTCATAGAAGACAATATATGTAGCTCAGGGATGGACTGTGGAGTCTATCACAGAATATCTTCTGCCTACTACTGCATCTTCTTCTGGGTTTTTCTTCCAGTAGATATGAGGGTCAACAGAAAATGTTGACTTTATTGGTTGATTGCACAGTATATACAGTAAGTAAGTATGCCATCTTGTTATTCTTCAGAGGCATTATAAATCATATAAATAGAATAGTTTTCATAAAATTTGGTTTCTATCTTGACACCACCACTTCTGAAGTTTAGAATACAAATTTTCTATCTGAAATTTAGAATACAAATCTTCTATAGATCAGGAGTCAGAAGCTAGATAACTGGGAACTAGATCTTAATTGAAACTAACTGTCAGATCTGCCCCAATCTGATCTCCCAGATAAACAAAACTCTCAACTCCATTTGGTTGAAGTGAAAAGCCACTTTTACTAAGAGATGCTGATTGCAGTAAAGTCAAGTGGAATCTAAAGTTCCCTCATACCAATAGAGAACTAACTCCTGGTTTTCCCTAGCCCTCCCCCCATGATCCGCCTGTGTATAGCCAATCCAATACTGCTGAGATGTTTTGGGAGATGTTTGGGCTGGTGAAATTCTAATCTCAGGGTAAACAGCCTTAAAGATGCCAATGTGCCACAATGAACCACATTCCAAAATGCTCTGTTTTTCCTCAACTGTCTATCCCCTCTCCCAATTTCCCATGTATACAGATTTATTGCCCATTTGTTCACCCCTACCTTCCCCGATTTATGGCAGAATGCCAGCAAAGTGCCAAGACAAAGTGGTGGATCTATCACTAACACTGGCTTCTTCTTATTACCATAACCATTGCCATCACCCCATTCTATTGTTTAAAAAACAGTTTTGGCAAGTGTTTTTCAATTCTTACTTTCTCCATCAACCTTTGACTTTTTAAATGGCTTTGAGCCCCTTTCCTATGTATCCCTTGAAGTTGGTCCCAGAGGCATGGAGAAGGAAGATAACGCAGTAGGGGTAGCAATACTCTGCTCAGTCAGCAGGGAAAAGGAGTAAGGGTCATACCATTCACTGAGATATTCAGAATGGAGGGGAGAATAGAAGTGGCCAGGACTAAGAGTAAACAAAAACTAAGGAGATAGAGTGCCAACTTACAATATTTAAAGCTTCCTAGTCCCGTCAAAAAGTTAAATGAAATGTGTGATGGGAGCTTTGAGTAGAATAGGTTATAGTATTTCTCCTGCAACATCCTCACTCACTGAAGTCTACAAAGTCCTTCATGGCAAAGGGCCAGATCTGTAGGACCACATCTCCAACCATCTCTGCTTATCCACTGATTGTAGCCATATGGATACGCTCCAGATCTCTTCTAGTAAGTCATGACATTTAATGGTACCCAGGAAATATGCCTGCTACATCATGGCATTGAAGCTATGGAACAGGATCAGCACAGCTCCTGAGATTTGGATGGCCTCAACCCTGCTGGCTTTTTGTAAAGCACTGAAGAGTTGATCCTTTCACTGAGGATTGAGTCAAAGTGTTTGGTGAGCCTGTCTGGATATGGTTGTATGTTTTTGAGTTGCTCTGAATTTGTGGTCTTTTAAATTGTTTTTTTTAATTGTTGCTTATTTTATTATTGTTAGCCCATCAACATTATAGATTGCCATCTGTGACAATGTACCATGGATGGACAGCCTACAGCCTCCACAAACTAGGAGCTGGCTTCAGTCTAAATAATTAGGACAGCTAAAAGAGCACCCATCTCATAGTTGCTAAAGACATTGTTACAAAATAATAAAAGTCCACTTTACCAGAAGAAAACACATTTCATCTGATCATTCCAACGTTAGAGGTGGAACTGTTTCCTTCAGTTTAGAAATCTAACCGTTATTCTGGCAATCTGTTGATTCATAAACATTTGTTGCCAGCATATTTCCCCAATTTTCATTTCATCTTCACTTCTATAAGAGGATGTTGCCTCAGCAGGGAGCTAAATCCAATTGACACTTTAAACAGGCTGGAAAGACCAGAGAGATGATGAGTTCTAAGATGCTGAATGGACTGTTATAAGCCCTTAACCTCATTTTTACAGTCTTAAACTTTTGCAGAACTGGGGAGACAGATTGCTGAACTGATCCATTGAAGCAGAACAGGCTGCTATTTATGTTGCCTTCTGCTCTGAATAAAGCAACCTAAGATCACTTATACTAGGGTTTCCTCAACCTTGTGAACTTTAAGGGGAAATCTGGGTTAAAGTCCACACATCCTAACATTGCCAGGGTTGAGAATCATTGACCTCCGCTTATCTCCTCCAAACTGATTCTCTGGGATTGGTTGAACATACTTGGAGGGCAATTAGTTAGAAAAGTTAGCCTATATGAGGCTCTTGTAAAACGTGCTAATGTCTGGACAAGAATTTCCAGATTGAGGTTTTGGAAGAATAATTTTCACTCATTATGAGTACCATAGAAGGTTTTACTTCCTAAATAGAGAAAAAAACAGAGTTTTTCAATATATACAGGTAAACATATCATAAAAATTTCCCAGGTGGTTTTGTGGAATCTAGCCTTTTGGTTATTTTCTTTCTAGCTGATTAATTTTTAAACCAACATAGGGAAACCAAGAAATAACAGAATAGCCCTTAAATACAGAGAAATCTCTTCCCACTCCTATTTTCCATTATTTTCCAGGCAAAACACTAAAGCAACACTTTTAGTTGACTTGCAACAAATATTTGGTTCTCTTTGTCCCAGCAAAAACATATTCAGTTTTCCTAATAACTTTGGCTCTTAATACCAAAGGAATTAATTACTTTGCAATTTCACAATATCAAAGACATTGATTTTTTTGGTCAATCAGAAAGGTGAAGTCAACATGTTCTAGTGCAGTGGTTCTTAACCTGGGTGATATTGCCCCCCAGGGGGTGATTTTGTTTTTCAGGGGGGCAATGGAACAAAAAGAGGTGACGCAGGGGCAAAGGAATGGAAGGGGGGCAATATGGGGGCGATGGAGCAAGACTTTTGGGGACACTTTTGAGACTTTTTTTGTACAGTGAACATATCTGTCATACAAAAACATCAGATCACTCGCTATTAGTGGATTGAACTATGTTTTAAAATGTTCCTCCAGCTAGCTTCAGTACAGAACGCCGTACATATATGAATACGCATCACTCATCTTCATGCGCATTGTGCAGCAGCCTCTATCACTCTACCCATTAAATTTGTTGCTCTGATTTTTGTTGCTTTCCTTCTGTAAAAATTTTCTTTGTGTCTTTTTAACCCTTTTTACAGTGTGCATGAATATATATTTTCCTCAAATCTTAATTTAGTTTCAGAGTTTTCTTCTTGAAATTCTTAGTTCCTGCATTGTGGTTTGTTCTTATGCCCTTTTTATATTTCTTTTTGCATCTTAAAATTCACTTGTAATTAAATCATTAAATATTACTGGTTTTTTTGGGGGGGGCGGCATTACATTTTCTTGCAATTGAATTTTGTTTTCAGTGGCCATTGCATTTAAGTGTCTTGAATAAATAAGATAATAATGAAATACATGTATCACGAAGTTTGGGAGTAAAGTGATGGGCGGCATCAGAATTTTTCACACAGCTGAGATATGGGAAAAAGACTGGAAATAAATTTGCATCAATATGTCCTGATGACAATTTTAAAGAAAACAAAAAACGTGCTTGCATAAATTGAAGAATTATTTCCCTGTGTTGTGATTGAGAGGTTATGTTGGGGGAGGGGGGGCGATGATAACTTTCAAAATCTTATATTAGGATAGCCAAAATACAGTGCCAAAAAGCTTGATACACCTAATGTTGAAAAAAATAAGCAACCTAATAGGATGTCTAGCAAAAATGTTTTTCTATTATACAAAGAATCATCCAGATGTTTTACTCAAGTAATTTGAATATCAGTTTAGTTTAGAGATTTGCTTTAGTTTGGTTTGGTTTAATTTAGTTAGTTTAATATGAGATAATTATGGCTGAAGATTTTAATCAAGTTTTAAATCCTTTTTTAGATTATAATATTATTTCAGCTAAATTTAATTCTCAAATGAGGAAAGAAATACTGTACACTTATATGTTGGACTTTTAATGATCCAGTTTTAAATCTTTCCCAGAAACGATATGTCTTTTTTTTCCAACTCTGCCTCAGGTATATCCCCAGCTTGATTATTGTTTATTATCTCAAACCTCAGCTGATCAGATGGATTAATGTAACATGGGCTCTATAGTAACACGCTGATTATGCTCCAGTAATTTGTGACTTTGTTGTAAGAAAAAGTTGTCCTAATGTTTTCAGGATGGTATTTTAAAATAGAATTATTAAAGAATGAATCACTTTTTATAAAAGAAAGGAAACAAGAATTTGATTTTTTTTAAAAAATAAAATAAACAAACCCACACACAAATGAAGCTCTGCCAAGCCCTCGAAGCCATAGCGGCACCCTCCTTTTCTACAAGAGCTATGAGTCCAGAAGACTTCCAAAAATGAAGCTGTTTTGTACAGGTTCAGTCAGATTTGGAATATCCCCAAAATTAGTGAGGGATTAAATTTGACCCTGAGCTTGTCCATATCATCCAGCCCCCAGCGGTCTTCAAGTTAGGGCTACTGAAGCCCAGAGTGACCATTATTTCTGATGTTGACAATATTAATATAAACAGACAGTTTAAATTCAAATTCAAATATCTTTATTATGGCCTTTGCCCAGTCTGTAATAATGATTTAAATGTTATTAACATAAATGTTGTAAAGACAAATATTACTGATATATGCCGTTAGAAAGATTCCTAGGCCAGAAACTTTAAGGTATTTCAAGTGTTTAACTTCTCCTTGCCATTGCTAAGAACAAATCCCACCCATTAGGATAGTGTAGAATTAGTTCTTTTCCAGGAACAATTGGAAGAAATTTTTAATTCAGTTTCTACGGCCAACTGTGCCTACCTCCAGTCAAATCATTGCAATTTTTCCAGGAGACATGATATAATTAATCAGCCATTTGTGTACATTTGAGAGAAAATACTGGTGTTTCTCCATCTTTCTTGAATCATCCTACCAAAAGATATTTGTTAACTAAGTTGACAGAAATTCTAGGAACTACAATTCCTCTATAGCTGAAGGACGCTAGACAGGAGGAAGCTGTTCAAAAGCATAAACCTGGGTTGTTCCCAAAATCAGATTCCCATTTAAAGAGTTTAGCTTACCTAGACAGGATCTTCTGAGAACAAAATACATCTACAGAGATTTCTAAAACAAAAAGAAAATACAATTGTTAATACAATTGTTAAAAAAAATACATAAATAAATTAATCCCTGTTTATCTGTCTTCATTTCTTTCCCCAGGATTTCTCTATATGCCATATTCTATTTTGTGTGTTTGTTTGTTTTTCAGTTAAGCACACAGTGGCCTAATCTAGATTAATCAGAAAACAGCAAAATTCCATTTTAACTTAAGTCTACAAACAGCAGATAATGATCTTAACCATGCCATGAGATACACCTTTAATAAAATAAATAGTACAAAAGTACATGTTTGATCTTAATTCAGCTGGACCTCCTATTGATTGATTGATCATGTGCTATCAAGTCAGTGTCACCTTTTAGTGACTTCATACATTGACCTTTTCCAGAATAATATATGTCCGCATCATAGCCCTTCAAATTAAATTTTCTAATAATGCAACCAATGCTAATATCAAATCCATGCACATTGCTCTTGGTTCTCCTCTTCTCCTTCTCTTAAGAATTATAGACTTCTCAAGAGAGTTAGATCTTCATACAAAGTGCCCAAAATATGATAATTTGATAGTGGTTATTGATGCCTCAAATGAGAAGCCTGGATTGATCTATCCTATAATCCACTTGTTTGTTCTCATGACTATCAGTGATATTTTCAAGAGTCTTCTCCAACACCTGAATATCTTTTCCAAAGCTTCATAAGTAACCTACTATGTACTAATGTGCAGCATAGTTCTTGACTGCTGGTTCCTACACAGCTGATCTTAAAAGCAAGACTCTGAATTGTAGACCTGTTTTAGGCATGAAGCCAGCTGGGTGATTTTGAGCAAATCACTCTCTGTCAGCCCTAGAAAGAAGGCAATGGCAATGAAGTCTCCAGCCACAAACAGCAAATTTTGTTTGAGTTTTCTGTCTATTTCAGATTGAATTTGATCACAAAATTCATTACTCTCCTCTTACTGTCTAAGACAGGGGTCTTCCAACTTGACAGCTTTAAGACTTGTGGACTTTAACTCCCACAGTTCCTCCTCCAGTCATGTTAGCTCAGGAATTATGAGAGTTGAAGCCCACAAGTTCTAAACTTGCTAAGTTTGAAGACCCTTGGTCTAAGACCTCAAGTAGAGGTCTTCCCCCAAATATTACCACAAATCTTACATTACAAATACAGCACATGCATTGTTGCAATTCATTCCTTTCCTTAATTCCAGAATTAAACAACTCAACAATGTTTAACTCATTTTAATTAATTTTTTCATATCAGCCATATTAGTCATGAAAATCCAAAAATTGCAATATATAAAATGAACAGTGACAAAAGTGGATGTTATAAATTATAGAACAACTATGTTTAATTGTAATGTAATTATAGCAATTGTGTATGGTATAAATTTACAAGATGAAATTGATATTTTAGATAATATTAAAATATAAACTGCTGATTGAGTTGGATGATGTTTCTCAAATTTTACTGAGAATTAAAAAAAATCAATATTTTAATTTCTTAACAACAATACTTAATGTTATCAACTTTATTGATTTACTAATATGTTATACTTCTGATTGTTTTATTATAATTAAATGTCTTCATTAATTTGAATATATTGTCTCTGTTTATATGGAAATACAGTCAATCCAGCTATGAAACAAGAAATTTAATTTTTAAACAAAATATTAAAATAGAATAGAAGCTCAGGCTGAACAAAGATATTTTTCAATGCCTAAATCAGCATTCATAGACACTTTAAAAATATAACCCTTGCTAAACATTAATATATAAATGCAGTTGGATGCAAAAGAAAAGAAGCTGCTATGAAAAAGAAAGCAAAATCTGTTTTAACAGCTAAGAAACAGCAATGATGGAAAACATCTGGGGCTGTTTCAGTCAGTTTCTTTTTTAAAAAAAAAATAGTTAATTAAAATATACAAGCAAATAGGAACTTGTATGTAGAATGAACATGAGAGTTGATGAATATGCTGAATATTAAAAGTTACATTTTAGAGAGCTGCAACAGAAGGAAAAGCCACCAAAATCGGAGTAGGTTTTGTTAATTTAACGTTGAGTAGTGTCCCCTTTATACTGCTGTTGCTATAAGACACATTATACAGTGTTTGCTAGGCTTCCAATCATTGAAAAGATTTTTTAGTAAAAGAGTAAGATTGCCAGAAGTAGACAGAGAAATGTCCATTCCATGAGCTTGCCAGATACTCGGAGAGCGTTTGATTTCACTCTTTTTGGAAAAAAAATGCAATTAATCTTATTACTTTCTTAATATGGAACTTAAATAATAAAACTGATATTGAATAAAACTGTGCCATGAGTAAAATTATATTGACTTCAGTTTTTCTCATAAGAAAAGCAAGGTAAAGGCACAGATTTAATTAAAATAAAAGAACAATAATATCCAATATAATATTTCATGAAATATCATCTCCACAAACTTTGAAAATGGGTTTTTACATTATTTTTATGGTGCTACTCTGTGTTTCTGATTATTCTATTTTGTTCTCCCATTGCCAAGATACCAACTATTCTCAGATCAAATACAGAATTGATGCAGATATCATAGCCAGAGAGATTCACAGACGAATAATTAAACTGGAATAAACACAGAATACATCCATACACAAACAGGAAATTGATGGTGTCTGAAAGAGTGATCTGGAAAATCTATTTTAAGGTCTCTTACTTCCATAATAATAAATTGGTTGTTCCTAAATGAGGTAAAAAAATGTTTAAAAAAAACAAGTGAAGAAAAATTACATTTGTTACAGTAAAATTGAATAAAGACATTGAGATTTTGCAGATGTTTCACAGATAATGTAAATCCAAAGCAGTATGAAGGAATATTTGTTTAGTTGTTATTTGTTAGCATGTAAAATTGATGCATAATTCACATATTCTTACTGGTATTTCCTGTTTTTCTTCTGTTACTTTCATGTGTAAAAGAAGTTTTACAAAGTCCTCATGTTATTTATTTTTATTTACATACCGTTCCATGTCCCGAGCCCCAAGTAATTCCCAGGAAAAGGACCATATCTCATCAAACTTTCATCAATAAAATAATCTGCATAAAATAATATAGAACTGTCTGGGGGCCTTATAGTTGAAGAGGGGTACTTTCTGCCAGCAGAATACACAAACACTGGATATCGCACAGTATGCACAGTACATCAATATTGTGCTTCTATGGATCCTTAAAGCACACTTTGATTATTATCTATTCAGAATGAGGTTTTTGCCTTAACCCTAACATATTACAAACCGAAAAGTAGTGGAAAGAGACAGGAATTCATGACTGATATTATTAGGCAGAGAAGAAATGTTCACATTAACTTCAAAATATATTTTTTAAAGAGATATTTGTTTTAAAGGAAACTAATATTGCCAACATAGATCAATGGCCAAAATGCATCCCATCTGGCATGGATATCTGGGATCTCTGCAGATTTTTATAGTGTTGATCTCCAAAGCCCTTTGCCAATCATCAGAAGTCATTTTTAAGTCTCAAAAAATACATTATTTCCTACTGATTATATTTTCTCCCTCTGTTTTGGTTAATCAGAAAGATGCATTTTCTCAAAAAGAAGACAGCTGTGAATTTAAGATGGCCCATATAGTGAAACATTAAAAAGTAGACAAAAAGGAAAATGATAAACAGAAACAAAACTTGTGCGTAAAGCCCACCAATCCAATATTTCAATTCCATGAATGTGTGCACAGTTACACTGTGTAGGACTATATGTATGTAAATATACAGTATTTAAGGGCAAGAAGTCACTAACTGATCAGCTAGAATTCAAAACTACTAAGTAAATTGCCAGTAAAATTAATCAATTCCCTCATCTGTACATATCTACCAGTCTCTCACACAGATAGAAATAACTTTTCCACAAAGAAGCACCAAGTATACGCACACCATCATACATCAACAGAAACAGCAAAACAGAAGGGAAAAAATACCCTAAGATGCCCCACATGTGGGCAGAGAAACTGGACAATAATTTCACTACATTTCTTCCAGAATAATAAAAATTCCACAATCCTTCCTTAGGGAAAGATTTCATCATCTATATTTGTCTGTTTGTGGTTTTCTTTTTTTTTTAGCAGGCTGCCTCACCTCTTCTCTGCACCAGTTAAACAGCCTTTTTGGAGTCCCTTCAGAACTTTTGAAGTTGTCAAAAGGCCTGCGAACCCCTTCCTGACCTATCTCTGCTCATTATCCTCTCCTGCAGATCTGCTACAGATATGAAGTTAAATATGTGGACTATGTAGTGAGGAAAAGCTCACTATTTCTCCTGGACACTTGTACAAGCAGGAGAGAGCTGTTCTCACCCAGTCTCCCTATGTCTCCATTGACATGCCTGAAGGAAGAGATGAATACTGGCTCCTAAAAGTGAGTTAATAGGAAAAGTTTACACTTTCCAACCATTGATTGTGATGAACTGTCACCATCACAGATATCACAAATTTAAGGAGAATGAAGCTTTCATCTTGGATTCAAAATAAAGCACATTTTGTAGTAAAGCAAATTCTACTCCTGTTTGAAATCTGAAAGTGAGTTCCATGATTTTTATGTGTGAAAATATGCATACCTATTATACTTGTCTTCTGTCATAAAAATCCTCATTGCTGTCACTAGTAGACATATCTTAGATTTGCATATTTGTCTCAACCAATTCACCAGTTTAATGAAGGTTTGAAGAAGCAATTGAGCTTCTGGAAATCATACAAAACCACATAATGCTGCAGTCATAGTCCAATATAATGATTAGCGTTCAACCCACAACAGCACCACTTCATTAGCACCCACAGGCTCTATGAAGTACTCAAACTGTTCAGCAGAGATATTTTTGTGCCTACAACTATTCCTAAACACCTAACAACACTGGTCACATGGAAGCCAGAAGGAACTGTCTCTGCTTTGGATATTGTTGACATCTGAGAATAAGATGTAATTGAAGTGATGTCATCAGGAGAACAATGTTTATGTGAAGCACTCAAATATTCT